TATCAAGTCTAGGTATGTCTACAATAATTCAACACCTATTGCTAACTCAATTAAAGATCTTTCTACATTTTGTAGTACTCTAGATCCTAATTAATTATTGGATTGGTTAGCTAATTTAGAACAATATTTTGATTGGCATGGCATGTCGGATTCCCATTGCGTCCGTTTTGCTAAATTGATGTTGGAGGGTTCTACTAAGAAGTATTGACAAACAATCCAAAGAAGCCTTGACCCCTAAAGAAAATNAGTATTTTGATTGGCATGACATGTCGGATTCCCATTGCGTCCGTTTTGCTAAATTGATGTTCGAGGGTTCTACTAAGAAGTATTGACAAACAATCCAAAGAAGCCTTGACCCCTAAAGAAAATTACCTATCACTTGGGTTGAAATGAGAAATAAATTGAAAGAGAAATATTTGACTACTTCCTACATAGATCAAGTTTATGACCAATGACTCAATCTTAAACAATATTTTTCTAGTATTTTTGATTACTTTGTCCAGTTCGATTATCTCATGTACTTGTGTGACATTGTTGAAGAACCTTTGACAATTGATCAGTTTATTCTTGGGTTGAGACAAAAAATTAGTAGGGAGGTCAAGCTATACACTTTTAATACGATAGTTGCAGCCTATCAATATGATCTAAAGGTTGAGAGATTTCATAAGAAATCTAATTATAGCTTGATGGCTTCTCAATCACAATCTGTTGACAGGATATCTTCTAATTTTAATTTCACCACATATGAGTATCATGATTACTTGAATGATGTCCATGTTATTTCTGCATGTTTTCCTAATTCCAGGGTGACCATAGATTTGGATGACACACTCTCATATACAAAAAAGTTGTTACTCATGTCGACTACCAATTCCCTTGTCCGGTTTCATCAGATCAGAGCTTACCTCTTTCATACGAACAAAAGTTAATACCTGAAGAAAATGAGTTTGAACCTTTGTTAGAGTCAAATGTTGAGTCACCACTTGTAATGAAACTTATTGAAAAGTCTGTCAAGTCCATACTTATGAAAGATGTCAAGCATATTGAGTTACCTATTTTAGAATCTTTTGCTGATTAAAGTCAATCTAACTTTGTTCTCAAGTCTTTCCTCTCTGAAATAGTTGTCTTTATTCCTACTACTAAAATTTCACTTGAGTTGGTACTTAATTATTTTTTAGCACCAATGCGTCATTGTTACTCCTTTGTCATTGATGTCTTGTTCCATTGAATAATTTTTGTTGAAACCTAATGAGAATTGTTTTTATATTCTCTAGTTTGGATCTAATGCTTATTTGCTTATTTTTTCATTGAATGTTAGTATTAGTCCAGATTTTTATTTGGAGGACATGCTACTTAATCGAGGTACTCTAGTGCCTTATATTTTATTAGCAGGTGTTCATATAGATGGAGATTCTTTCATTTATCTTGGTCGAGGGAAAGAAGTTGATGATTTTTTTATTATAGATGAAGTGTTATGTCATCTTCGTTCTGCTCTTGTGGGGTACTTCTACTTTGAAGACTCTCCAGAGGAGAGTTTTTCTCAATTAGAGGAGAATGATGGGGATTGTGTAGGAATTGGATAGATATTTTAGATTAATCATGAGTAATTTAGTATTTATCTTTTAAATATTTTTTTTACTTTTAAGGGTTTTGTTGTTATTATGACTATTTATTTCTTTTAGAGTTCTTTTAGAATTTGTGGTCTACCTATATATATATA